CGAGCATGAAATATAAGCTTATCACAATGCACATAATGATAAAATAAATACCGGAAACAAGGGATAATATAAGGTTTAGTAATCATTTTTATAAGATCAAACGAATTGCATGCATATTTGTATTACCAAGTGACCTATCTTTAAGATTAAATTTGATGTAACGTAACAAAAATACTGATACGCATGAGAGGATCCTGTATGAAAGTTGATTGTTACACGCATAGAATAATTTAATTTCACCTGCATGCGTCTATTTGACTTACATGTTCTGGAGATGATGAAGCATAGATATGTCCTCTGGTAAGGAACCCCTCAAACCTTGGTTGTCGAGACCACTGACCTTGTAAAAAAATCACATGGAACATATCAATAAAAGGTATGGTAAAGGCAGCCATATGGTCACAGCCATATGGTCATACAATCTGGTTACTATTAATTCAAAGTGTTACCAGTACCTGATATGAATGAAAATGCAAGTGACATAAAAGAAACAGCTATAAACTCATTACTTGTAAAAATAAGCTTCTACATTTGAAGCATGAATGGGAACATTTTGATTTGGTAAGAACAAAAACTTCTGAAATTCAATTCTTAATCTCTTTCCAGTTTCCTCTTTTATCCAGTAGTTTCTTGCTATTATTTGTCGGCTAACTGCTTATTCAACCACTCAACCCAAAATGGTGGTCTAATCACTTAATCGGGTTTGACAACTATGGTAAATATAGCATTATTGTGTTTCCTACTAACTGGTTTCCCTTAAGTTCTTCATATGAATTAAAAAGCCCAGTAAGAGAACAAGAACATACAGCCCATCAATGACATATTTACTGATAGTACTATCATACTGACAATCTACTCCACTCCATGGATGTTGCTGAGGAACACAAGGATCACCATTCCACCCAAACCGAAGAGGAAGCCCGAGTGCACTCTTCAATTTCTGCAAAGCCCTGACTAAAATAAGGAAAAAAACAGTCATTTGTGTAACAGTTAGACTTGAAGTTCTAATCAAAATACCAGTACTTCATGGGCTGATCTAAAATTGAAATAAAAGAAGTAACCAAATTAAGGGTATAAGCAAATATAGCATCATGAAAAACAGAAGCACGTTGTTCGTCGAACTGTGCAAGAATAAAAAATTCAAGGCATGCAACAGTGGACCCCACCTCACAAGACTAAATAACATCAGCCCAGCTGCATGGAAAGCAACTCTCATTGGCCACAAATTACTATAGCTTTATGATTACTGCACAACAAATGTATGTCCAGAGGCGTGCTAAATGAGAAACAGATATGCAGGGGAATACAAAACGTTCATATTTCTTTATTTAGTTTTTGTTTATCATGTTTTTCCTCATCTATGAATGGTAGCCCTAGAATATTGTATATAGCATCTTTTGAATCCTGGATAATTCAAGAAGAAATGGAAAGAAAGCAAATTCTTATTAGCATATTTTCATAAGCTTAAATGTCCCTTAAAAGGGGGCCTTTCGGCAATATTACTCTTCATACTGTCAAAAAAAGTCCCTTAAATTTAAAGCTTAGCCAAACATGCTATATTTGAGGAATACAGAAACAAGTCTTCTGTACCTTCATCTTGTAATGTTTTGGATGCAGCCATTACAAGTTCAAAAATCTCAATGGCATTGATAATGGCGTGAGTCCCTTTTGTAGGATGCATAGTTATTGTCAAAGTCCTGCCACTAAGAGCAACAGTTGTATTCAGTACTAGGGCACTGTTAATGCCCCCAGCCATATCCACTATGTCTACATCTCGAAATGCAACATCGCCATTTATCAAGATGTCAAATATCCTTTGTCCAGCTGCAGTAACTGAAGGATCTATTTCTGCATAGTGTAACCAAATGGAATAATTTCGATTAGGTTCAACCTCAGCTGTGTATATTAAATCAGGCTGACTGTCACTACTAACAAGAGCCGTTTCATAAAGAGCTTCAGGATAAAAGTTGGGTGATTTTGAGGCCTGCTTGATGCTGTTTGTGGTAGATATGGCACGATCTGAACTCTCTTCAAATGTCTGGATGGAATTCCAGAATCGATCCCCACCCCAACGGTCTGCACTATAATCAACACCAAATTTCGGGCCACGGGACCCGCAACTGACTCTTCTATCAGTTCTGAGGATCACCCCTTCACCATAGCCTGGACCAAAATAGTACGCTTTGTTATCAACTTGAAGGATCTCAATTGCAAGTATTGCTGGATCTCCGTGTCCAGTACTATGGAAGCAAAGAGAGGCCGTGCCATCCTTAAGAAATATGAAGGCTTCAACAAAAGCTCGCTCATCATCATGAGTACTCCAACCCGGTGGCATAGAATAAATTAATGCTCCTTCAACAGAAACGTCAAACAAAGGTTCATTGTCAAAACTGGGTTCTGCAACCAGTCCAAAGAAGATTCTCACCGAATAATGTCCATGTGGAACTCTATTTATATTGTAGCAGTTTTCAGGACCCTCGGACAAAGGGAAATAACGAAGCGTCTCAAGTCTGGGAGAGATGAAACTCGGGCGGGTTGCATTACCAGGTATTCCTCCGGTGTAAGCAAAATCCTTATGCCAGCGAGTATTTGATGGAGGACTATGAACATCGCTACGTGCTCCACAACTTATTCGCAAGGCATATGGTCCTGCAATGAAATAAGAATTCAGATACAACAGAAGACCAAAAGAAGCCGATTTGCCTAAAGGAACTTCAGCAATCACAATATAGTTACAGCACCAAAAACTCTACAAAAAACCAGGTAAGTGTTTAAATGTTATGAAGATTGCGCTGCAAATTCATAAAAAATAATGCAGTTATATTAGGCATAAAACAAGATTGTGATTTTATATTTTTTTTAATTGTTTTCTTTTCATGATATTCGTCTTAAGCTAGAAAATTTCAATTTTTATCATTTAGGTAACTTTGCATTTTCTATAGGAATTATAAATAAAACTAGAAAATTCTGAGTTCTCTAGTTTCTCTCTCCCGTTCTCCATAAAAATATTTACCCAGTCGGCTAAATATTTTAATATATGAGACTAAAGGGAAAATCCAAATTATTGTTGATTTTGTATGAATATATCAATTCAGCTTAAAGTGAAAAAACAGTTCTTTCAAATCCATCATAATTGCTTAAAACTTATACTCGGTATTGTTGCCACTGTGAGTTGGTCATCAAAAAGGGCCATCCAAGCCAATATGCCGACAAGGAATGCCTATCTTTGAAAGCCTATCCCACTTAAAACTAAAATTGAGAATATTTACGTTGTCAACATTCCTAGGACTTCATTTGCTTTTGAAGCTGAGACAGAGTAAATTTATGAGTACATTATATCTTCACCGTCATCTCCTTGCTAATTTTTTCTACACTGTTATGATGAAGGATTATTCTAAAATTTTCAAACTAGAAGTTTGAAAATGGACAAGAAAATGAAATCACAAACAGATTCCAACCATTCTTGCTCTCCCTTCCTTTTCTCCAAAATTTTCTCGGACTCCCAGAAGAAATAAAAAACCCAACTTCTAATTCATAATTTTAATAGCCAAATAAATCTGAAATATAACTATAATCCATATAGATAAGCAGAAGAGAACAACAATCAAATCAAGCACAATAAAACCCAATTAAACAGTTTCCAGTAAAGTGTAACCTAATTCAAACCACATCCATTCAAGACGCTGAACATTTTCACCAATAAACTACACTAAACCCAAAACGAAAAAGTACAGAAAAATCCAGAATCAAGCACACAATTGAACAGGCAGAACCACAGTAACCCTTCACTAAAAACTTATGCAGTGAACTAATCAAATCGTAGAAATCAAGAAACAGAGAGTAAGTAAGGAGCTGACCTCGAGAGAATGAAGGCCTGAGAACTAAGAAAAAAGCCAGCAAAAGCAAGAACAATCTGAGACTGAGCATTGTTCACCTCAATCTACAAATGCTAAAAATTGGAAAATGGAAACTTTTCCTTGATATACAACCTTTTTTTTAGTCAAATTCGTAACATTCTATCTTGGATCTTTATCTTCCTTTGTGTTTGTGCTGTTTTTGAGGAGAGAGAATCTAAACTGTGAGAATGTGAGAGAGAGAATTTATCTATCAAAAGAAATAAAAATAATAATAATAATTACAGAATATGAGAGAGAGAGAGTGTGTGTGTGTGTGTTTTTATAGGGTAGTGTCTGGGACGTGCTGTGCACGTAGGTACGCACAGTTGAAAATTTCAGTTTAGTTTAATAGAATTATTAATATTTTTTTGTCTGATGCTTAAATTTTAAGAAAAAATTGCAATTAAAACGTCATTGGTGGATGGACTTAACGCAGCTCATTTTCGAGTTTAATCAAAATTAAATTATTCAATTGAACTTAATGAACATACTAAAATTTGGAATTTCATCTTAAAATATCAATTTATTTAATTAAAAGGGGTAAATCAATTCTATATGTGTTGATTATTAATTAACATATAATATATCCTTTTGTCAAAATGCAGATGATGTCACTCGATTTTTAAAATATGTTTACTGTAAATTGATTTACTATAATTTAATTGAAAGGTTTAATTGATGTGGACACGGAAAATAAATGTGGACAGTTGAGAAAACTTCACTCTCCAAAGTGGACTTTAGTGACATTTTGTGCTTCTAAAAGTTGACCCTTCAATTGTAATCAATCAACAGTACCATTATTGCCCGCATGCCTGAATTAAGGCGCAATCGGAGGTTGACCCTATAAACTCAATTCTGATCCAAATAATCTCGACCCGTCCAATTACGACATATTTAGTCAAGTAAAGTGCGACATTAATCACAATTTTTCATAGACTGACGTGATCAAATGATCTCTACTCAACTTAGTTCACGTAATTTTTATCATGCACACTTGGATAAATCATTTGCGACACGTGGCCATCTTCGAGAGTTAAGGAGGCGATCACGTACACTCCAATTGTCAAGACAATCACTTATAAAAATGTTTGGGTGTTAGATGTGCTATGAATATGGGCCACAAGAGTGTTTGTATGCAGGGGATCAGTATAGAATCGATTTATAGAATAAAAATTAGAGAGAACAATGCTATAACTATGTTTTTGATATAGCATTATCTTCAAACGATATTAAGTGTGAGTTTTTATAATTGTGGGAAATGAATGATAACTTTTTAATGAAGAAATTCATGCCTCGTCTTAATGGTCAATGAGCCTTCTCCTAGGCGTCATTTAATGACTCCGACAATTTTTTATGGGCCGTGCTACACGAACACAACCGTTGACATAGCACACACATTGGGAGATTGGCATTATTTTATTCGCGCAGGACCCACACCTCGATTGTGAGTGTGGTGCCATCCTTTGTGTCAACCATAATGTTAGTTTGACATTCTCCATTTTTTATATTATGACCTAGGCTGACATGTAAGGATTATACTTGATAAGTCAATTTGGTAGAGTAACTGCTAAGAAAATGTCATATGAATCAATCCAGAAGATATAGTTTGGAAGATCTCCTAAAGAACGCGCCTGATAAACCTAGAGGTTATTCACCTTGAATTGGGGTTCCAACCCCTTGCATTACTTCGCTTCATCTGTGAAAGTTCGGTCTTTCAATGGAGGTTTGATTAAGTAGGCAAAGTGATGTGGATTGCGAATCTAAATTAATTAATTATGTTGCTGTCACATGGCCATACTTTAAAGTTCGTTGGATGAGACGTAACAAAAATCACATCAAAAGAAAAATCACCTTCTCCTATCGGGTGTTGACGGTCCAAATTACTCTATTAAGAAATTTAATTTAATTTCATAAAAAAAATAAAAAAAAATAAACTCAGTTGCTTCCAAAATCATCAGCCACAGGTCCACAACCCCAAATTTATTCCCAAAGAACAGGACAAATATAATATAAACATGACACCTGTCACACAAGTAATGAAATTGGTCCCACATTTTACCTAGTCTTCGTCCTTACCCACATTAATTTCTTCTATTTTCCATTACATTTTTACTTTAACCACACCGTTAATCGCTCTCTCGGTCTCTACAAACTCTTGTTGAACCCGGCGCACGGTTTATTGATCTGGAAATAGAAATAAGCAATTGGGAAATATTAATTTTGATTATTTTCCAGAGAGAGATTTTAGCAGCAACCTCTCTATTTATTCATAGAGTTAAGACAGGAGAAAAATCACAAAAAGAAAGGAAAAATGGTGCTGTTAGACCAGCTTTGGGACGACGTCGCAGCCGGGCCTCAGCCCGATCGTGGCCTGAAACACCTCAAGAAAGTGTTCAACAAGCCGAAAGGTATATTCTTTTCTTAATTGCCTTTAAATTATATCGTCTACAGCACGTTCAACTTCGCTTAAAAGCACATTATTGGGTGCTTATTTAAACAATATGCAATTGTGTATTCGAGTACTATTCACAAAATCGAAAAAAACATTCTTTTAAATGGTATCAAATGTGTCAATATTAATAGGATCCACAATGTCAACTCAATGTCATACATATAAATTTCTCTCTTTTCCTTTTGGGTAGACGGAGAAGGTGGTAGCAATTACCAGAGGTCTCTGTCGATGCCATCCGCTCTTGGGACGCCACCGACACCTGGAACTCCGACAACTCCGTCGCCAACTGCAGCAGCGCAAAGAGAGAATGTGTGGAGGAGCGTTTTCAACCCTGGAAGTAACCTTGCCACAAAGGGTATCGGGAGTGATTACTTTGACAAGCCACATCCTAATTCTCCCACTGTTTATGACTGGTACGTACTCTCAAACAAATCAATATGAGGAGTTTAACATGATGTCATGACAGATAAATTATGCCTGATTTTATTACAGGCTTTACAGCGGGGACACAAGGAGCAAACATCGTTGAACCGTTGGATACCTGATGGGCTGTTGCATGTGTATAGTGTCTTTCTTGATATGGGTCTGCTTTGTGTTTTTTATCAATTTCAAGGGTTTATTTATCTTTATTTTTCAAAATTAACTCTCGAGTGACTATGGTTACTAAATAATTTATAGGTTTATTTGTTGTCTTTTGTCATGTTCAGTGTGAAGGAGTAGATAGTGTGGAATAATATTACGTTGCTGAGTCGAGTTGATTGGGACGAAACGGTTTAGATGGCTTCTAATTCATATTTCTATTAAATAAGTTGATTTTGGATTTTATTAGTAATTTATTATCTGGAATGATTACTTAATAAGCTTGTGTTTATCTTGTTATCTGAACAATGGCAATTGAGACCTAATAATATTTCAATGTGATCATTATATTCTTGAAAATATAGGCTTGGGCTCTAGGAATAAAAGAAAATCTAAAAAGATTATTTCAGAGTTTAATCTGTTGAAATTAAGTCGAGTTTAGCTACGCTAATTATTGCTTAAAAATTAATTTTTAAAAGAATTTTATATATTGAATGTGCTTTTACATTGAATTGACTTCTTTTAATTAAAAGAAACACTTTATGAAATTAGCTACATGGATTCAAAAGCAATTTTTAAGTCTCAAAAAAAAAAAATTTTTTTTTTTTGACTTTTTGAAAGTCATGTCAAATTGCCCCTAATTAGTTGGGGGTGCTACTGTGATAGGCGCCAACTATTCAAGGCTCCTATTCGTTTAGCATTCCCCTAATTAGTTAATGAAAGTACGAGCCAATTCAAAATTTTCCAACATGGGATTGAGAAATGATAATTTATGACATTGCAAAACAAATGTTTATATTTTATTGTTGATGTTATATGAAAATGGCGTTGCATTATCAGAGTTTCTTTGTTCTTATATATATATATTGCATAAATAGACACTAAATTACACAAGCAATTAAAGCTCAATACTTGTCGCGTGATTAATTCCTTCTGAGTTGTATGAATTCTTTGAATCTCAAACTTTAATCAAGAATCTTATGTTTCTTGATTTCTTGATCTTCTCTAAAACTTGAATCTTTTTTAAGTATACTCCAAGTTCAGATTGCATCTTTTATCTTGGTATAATTTTTCTAAGTTTATCAAATTTTTTAATATAAAACATAAAATAAAAATTATATCACTAAATCATTTCATAAAGAAAATAGAAAGAAAACAATTGTAACATCATTTCTTGAATTAAATATATATGTAGAAAAATGTTCTAAAAAAAATGTAGAACCACGTGAAGAAAGTAATATTCCAAAATTTATAATATCATTCAATAGAATTAAAAATGAACCGAAATCAATAGAAATTATATTTTATTGAAACATGATTTGTTCATTTAATATTTCCTTTTAATAAACTTTATCAAAGTTTTCTAAAAAAATTCAGTTGATGCCTTCATTATTTTTTATTATTATTATTTTGATAAAAAATATTTCAATTGTGTTGTTACACATACATAATGATTCATATAAACATGATGTGGAAAGAAATGATTGTGTCATAAATTCTTCAACTAACTAAAAAAAAGAAAAAAAATGAAGAAGAATCATTTTCCACTATCTCTTTAACACATCATCTGTATATAATCCTTATATAACTTTATTATATACAAGTAGCGACTGTAGCGTTACCCAAAATATTTACACTTGTATATGAATTTCCATAAAAATAGATGGACAAATGCGTCACTTTAATAATGGTCACTTAATTCCAAGTTAAATTTGAAATAGTCATTAAAGTATTTTTATAACCCATTTAGTCATCTTGTTTTGCTTTGTGGCAACTTTTTACCATTTGTTAATAGTGAAAATTTAAGTTGGTTAACGGAAGCAATTTGAAATTTTCTATTTGAACGTTGTTGGTGTTGTTGCTACTATTTTTGTTATTATTATTATTATTATTTTCAGATAGAGGCATTTTACGTTTAAGATTTGTAATTTCTCAACCTGTACAAAGTGGAAATTGAGGTCAAGGTTTAATTTAAAGTAGATGTCACTTACAAATATACCAATTATATAATATTGTTTAATTTAGCCACTAAATGAGTCAAAAAAATTTTATTGCCCAATGATGAGTGCTCCATACTCATTATATTTGTACCACTTAATTCATTATTTTATTAACATTGAGAGTGTTTTAGAAAGTTTTAATGTGTATTTTAATGTTATGATATAAGTTGACGAAATTGAATGAAATAAGCAAAAGTTGGCAAAATTGGAGAAAATAACCAAATTGTAATAAATCCAAAGTTCGGGGGATAAAGTGCAAATATTCAAAAGGTTGTGTCGAACCTCACGATGAAGATCCAAGAGTGTTAGGAGTCAATTGGATGAAGAAAGATATCAAAGAGTTCAAATTTAAGCAAAATACGTTCACAAATCAATTTCCAATAGAAAAGTTATGCTACGGAATTTACCTCATATTGAGACCCCTTTTTGCCATAGAAAAAGATCGAATTGGAGAATGATGTCTGAAACAAAGTTGTAACCCGTTGAATTAGCTTTCCAAGACATCTTGAATCACCTCAATCGAACGAGAAAGTTATCCTAAAAATATTGAAGGACGCACAGCTGTCGTTTTCGACCAAACCAGGCGCCGAGGCACCCAACTCACTGAAAATAATAGCAAGCCCAACGCCCATATTGGGCGTCGAGGCGCCATATATGCAGGAAAACCCATTTTATAGTTTTAGACTATTTTCTTGGCCCAATTCAACCCTATTTCGTCCAAGACTCCAACATATTATAAATACTATTCAGAAAAACCCTATTTTCAAAAAAGAATCGAATGTGGCCAAATACAACAATTGAAGGGGCCAAAATTGAAAACAATTCAAAGGGATTCAATTACAATTCAAATGAGGAATCAAGGGAAGCAAGAACAACATCGAGGGAAGAAATTGAAGATCTACATCATAGGTTTTTCTACTCTCTTACTTATGTTTTCTTATATGAATTTTTGTATTTACATAGATTATATCATGAGCTAAATTCATATTCTAGGGATTGATTGTAGCCAAAATTTGATATTATGGTTTGATTATGTTATAGCTACTTTTATTTAATTTTCCACCTATGTTTAATTTTGTCATGATTTTAATGCTTTCAATTAATTGACCGCTAATTGAATAATTCGATATTTTAAATTTTGGCGCTCGAGCTAGGCACGATCATAGGATTGACACAACATAGGTTTTATGGGTTTCATGAGAAAGTATAGAATCTATAAATCTTATTCCATAAAAGAATAAAGACTTCAATGAATTCTTGATTTTGATTTGGAATAGAGATATTGAAATTAAAATTTATGATTAATTTTTACCCAGAGCCTAAGAGAGAGGGTGAGAAATACATTAGGATTCTTGCTTTCAAACGTGAAAAATTTGATTAGAATAACTGGATATAATTGAATTGTAATTGATAGTTACGTGAAATCATTCCCTAGGATTTTCCATCTCGATTTATTCGTATAATTTGCATCCCTTGAATTCGTCACCAAAATCATTGTTAGATTAGTTAACAATATTGATTTCAAATTCCATTCGTTATAGATAAAATAGAAGCTACCAAATTATAGTACTTGATAGAAATTAAATTACAATCCTTGTAGGTTCGACACTCTTACTTCAAAACTATATTATAAAATTTGACACAGTACACTTGAGATATAAATCACGTTGCATCAACCAAGTTACTAACCCCTTATCAAATGTCTAATCCTCTAAAATAAGTATTCGTGGCTTAATCAAGGTATTTGATATCAATTTTGTTTTATATATATTTAATCATTTAATCACCCTTCCTGCAAATGTCCATTCCTTAAACTTTCTAAATGATCCCAATAGCAAGTTTTGTGTCGATGACTTTAGGACATCAGATTTCAAACCCTTATAGGCTTAATCACTCGAGTCATAAAGACTACAAGGAGACGATTCACAATGAGGTTTTCTAACTTTTTTTAAGTTAGGAGATCTAATGTTTGAGATTGCTGCGTTGGAAAAGTAACAAAATATTTGAGAAATCAACAGAACGACATAGTAGCTGTTAAACGATACTTGTGTCGTTCTATTTATAAATACGAGTATACGTAACCACGACCCATCCATACTTAGAGAACCAATAAGTTAAACTCATTTAAATTTTAAGTTGGACATGATATTTATAAAAATTGAGAGATATAATCATTTATTATATTATAATAAACTAGTAGAATAACTTATGTTTTTATCAAATCAATATCTTATGATCCAATCATTTAAATCATTCTTTGTCACGTAATTAACCTTTCTATCTTATGCACGTTAGTGGTTCCAATGCTTGAGGTCTTGAGTTAAAAATAAATCAAAATATAGAAGAAATCAACAGAATGTTACCGAGAAGAAAACGACTCATGGGTTGTTCTGTTTGTAAACACGATTATAAAACGGTCATGTCCTGTTCACGACTCCGAGAACTAAAAAGTTGAACTCATTTAGGTTGTAAGATGAGCATGATATTTACAAAAGCCAAGAGATATGTTTATTATTTATATTTTAATTGACTAGTAGAATAACTTATGCTTTCACCAACTCGATATCACATGATCTATATCATTTCAATCGTTCTTTATCATGTGAATAACCTTTTCATTTTATTTACGCTAGATGGTCCCATGCTCGATGTCTTTGTCTTGAAAATATTGGAGAATTCAACGGACCGACATAAGTTCCCTTATTGAGAAGAAAACAACCCTTGTATCGTTTTATATGTAAACACGAATACAAGCAGTTACGCCCCATTCGTGTCTTAATAACTAATAAGTGAAACTTGTTTACATTGTAATATGCACATGAAATGTGCAAAGGTTAAGTAATATGTTCATTAACTTAATCGACGCATATGAGTAGAATAACTTGTGCTTTCACCATTTCGATAATATAAAAGCTATGTCATTTCAACCGTTCTTTATAATATTGTCAACCTTTCTATGTTACATACGTTATGGAGTATGTTATTAGAGGTTATTTAATTGAAAAAGGTTAAATATAGGTAAAAACTTCTTAACGGTACAACTGTCGTTACTGGACATGAAAACGACACATGTACTGTTACATGTGAAAACACAACTATAAGTAGTCATGTCCATACATGTCCCTAAAAAATAATAAGTTGTACTTATTTATGTTGTGATATGCACATGACATGTACAAAAGTTGATAGATATGGTCATTAATTTAATTAACACATATGAGTAGAACAACTTGTGATTTCACCATT